TTAGCACCAGGCATGAAGAGCTACACATTTGGGAAACCTGGGCACAATCCAAATTGAGTTTAACCCCTTTTCTCACTTTTAAGCCTACTCACAGCCTTGCCTCTTATTATCTATTTTCTCTGTTTTCACTCTAACCTTAAAAACCAATCTCCTACTAGACTTCCACTGCTGTATACTATTAGTGGATGTCAGAGGTGAGGGGCTGATGGGGTTGGTTGGTGCTGTGGAACTGGCCTCATGACAGCAACATCTGTGCCTCTTACCAGGATGGTCTGGAGTGGGTGGGGCAGAGAGCGGGCACATTGGCATAGCCAACCTACTGCCCCACCAGCAGCTCATGCTTGTCTTCACACTCCTTCATGGGCATACATGGAACTGCCTCCATCTGACCTTCTCTTAAGGAACGTTTAAACATTCAATTTTCCCCCTTGTGAGTTCTTTATATTCATTGTTGATTAACTTGATACTATTACCATTTGTGTGATGATTATGGTCCTGGTTTTTAACTTTTCCATTTCTGTAAGCTGAAGCCACAAAAGGTGTCTGCTATCTGCCCCTGCCTTGGTCATTTGATTGCCCTTTTTACCCATTGCTGTCTTTTTTATTTGTATATATTTTATTTGTATATATATATCTTGCTTGTTTTATGTTGCTATGGCCGTTGGCTAATGTGAATAAAGTTTATCTATCATCTATCTATCTATCTATCTATCTATCTATCTATCTATCTATCTATCTATCTATCTATCTGCCCCTGCTTCCCTGTTCTGGTCAGGGGGCCTTTCAGAATCACATGGGATTTGATGCCAGGAGGCTTCAGACAAGGGCAGCATTGGTAGAAATCAGTGCTTCTATCTGGGGACCCCAAGCTTCACACTTTGCCCTTGCATACCTAGTAACAATCTTTTCCTTTTCCACTTTCATTTTACCTTTTTTTAAGAGTGTGAGCTTATGAGCAGGGATGAATTCATTTCATTCCCGCACAGCGTTTAATATATTTTAGGCACTTCAATAAACCATGGCAATGAATCCAGGTAAAGTAATACCATTTAAATTCCCAATGATTTCTGGAGCAGAGTCTTAAACATGCCAGTGGGACCTAACATGTCCTTAACATTGGCTGAATGGCGTCCTCCCCATCTTAACTGTGCATCTCTATAACAATTAGTGCCTGGACAGCAGAACACTGGTAACTTGGTAAGTGACTTTCATGGTTACCATGACATCTGGCATTACAGATCTCTCCAAAGCAAAGCAGGGACATTCTTCTAATAAATTTCAGCATGCAGCAGAAACACAAGGTGTTGATTCTATAATATTTCAGCAGCAAGAAAATATTTCCAAACACAGGTTTCGTTTTCTCTCTCTACTTTTTTTTACATTTGATCACGTGCCATTGCACATTTGTAAAGACATATACTTTACAAAATATTACAATATTAAACCTGTACAGACAAAACTGGTTTGAACTGAGTGGAGGAAAAAATGTCCTTGCAATGTAATGTACATTCCATTTTTTGTACAATCTTCACAGTTCCTTCTAATGTAGTGTTCCTTGGACACTGAGCACTGTTATGGGACCTTTTCCGTCAACCTCCATGTTCTGTTCAGGAGTGAACCAAAGATGAAGCTGGGCTGAAATGAAGGACTCTTTCTTGATTTTGTACAGTCCTGTGATTGATTCTCTATGCTTGGCCTTCTTGCCAGGTCTTGAGGTCGTGAGGATCAAGAAAGCCTATTGATTGGCTCTCCAGGGAGCTAGGTTGCAATAACAGTAGAAAGGTGAAATGATTGTTAAGCAAAAGGATACCAGATGAATCCCCCCCCCATCTAAAAACCCCTGCATTGAACTCTGGAGACAAGCTACCTCCATCAACCAGAAATTGTATAGACCAGGTGGAACAATAGCATCTGCAGGCAAGGCAGCATGACTCAATATTCAGCTTCCATTTCACCAATCCCCTCATTTTGAGAAGGTTCCTCCTTTGAGATCAACTATGACTGCGTTTCATTTCCTTAGCAATTGTCCACTTACATGTTATACAATCTCAAAATCACCCCGAACATTTGGGTAATCATTTATCTCCGGTATGAAAACTCTTGGAAGAAGGTTTCTGTGACATTAAATTATGAGGTATGGAATTGAGTTAAATTATTCATTTTCTTGCATCATCCTCTCTTAGATGGGGCTATGAAGTTACCGACAGATAAATCCTAGATTTTTTCAGCAAGGGTCATAGCTTAATAATAATAATAATAATAATAATAATAATAATAATAATTTATTATTTATAGCCCACCCATCTGGCCACTCTTAGCTGTCATACAACACATTATTTGCATACAGAACATTGCCTCTTCAATTTACAATAACTCCAAGAAAGTCCTGGAGAGCTACTGCCAGCCAATGTAATTCAAAGGTGGGAAAACCCAGGAGTTAATGTGCCCCTAGAGCCATCTCTGCTTGGCCTTCAGGACTCACTAGGCCATGAAAGCTCCCCTAGCCACACACCCCTTTTAGGCCATGCCCCTCAGCAGCCCTGCCCTGCCCCCTCCTTTGGCAGGTGCCTTCTGCGCCGACTTTTAAACACCTGCTTAATGCTCTTCTGTTCCACTGGGCCTATGCAGGCAATTAAGAGTGCACCCCCCACTTAATGTATATAATGGGTAAGATTAAGTAATATAGCATACCCTCCAACATTTCTCTGATGAAAATAGGGATGTCCCATTCCATAATGATGATTGTACTATTTATGCCCCATGCATCTTACTAGGTTGCCCCAGCCATTCTGGGCAGATTCCAACATATATAAATAGCATAATAAAACATTAAACATTAAAAAAACTTTGCCTATACAGGATTGCCTTCAGACGGCTCAGGGGTCAGACAACTCCACACCCTCCAACATTCCTCCAATGAAAATAGGGACACCCTAAGGGAAAGTGGGGCATTTCGGGATCAAATCAGAAACCGGGACGGCTTCTCTAAATCAGGGATATTTCTGGAAAATAGGGACCCTTGGAGGGTTTGCTATAGCAGCTTTCTATTGTAAGAAAAAAACACCATGGAAGGGTGGGTGGGAAGTCAATGGATATGAGTGTTGTTTAAAAGAATTTCTGAAAACTTAATGAAAAGGTTCACTTTTAATGGTTTTATTGTTTGGATTTATGTTTTTATATTGTTGTAAAACCGTTGCTTGGTCCCTGCTCCTGCCAACCTAGCAGTTCGAAAGCACGTCAAAGTACAAGTAGATAAATAGGTACTGCTCTGGTGGGAAGGTAAACGGCGTTTCCATGCACTGCTCTAGTTCACCAGAAGTGGCTTAGTCATGCTGGCCACATGACCCGGAAGCTGTGTTCCCTCGGCCAGTAAAGCGAGATGAGCGCCGCAACCCCAGAGTCGTCCATGACTGGACCTAATGGTCAGGGGTCCCTTTAACTTTAAACCACTGTGATATATCCTTATGACATCTTTCTGCAGGGCCTGCAAGACAGAGCTGTTCCACCAGGCCTTTGGCCAGGGCACAGCCTGACCCCCTCCTTTGGCAATCCTCACAGAACTCTAGCCCAATGGTTGCCATTAATTTGATTTGAACTGATTTTATCATGAAATGATTTTAGAATGTTGTATTATTTTACTGTTGTTAGCCGCTCTGAGCCCGGCTTTGGCTGGGGAGGGCGGGATATAAATAAAATTATTATTATTATTATTATACAGTGGCATATAATTATTTTAATAAATAAATAAACAAACAAACAAACAAACAAACAAACAAACAAACAAACAAACAAATAATGCTTTTGCCCAGCTGGAATGTGTCCCTGAACTGTGATAAGTTATCTTGCTTGTCTGGTTAGAGAGATATGCATATGTAAATGTGCACGTAAATGTGCCTCTGACTTCTGTATGAAATGAAGCTCAGTCCGTTCTTCCACCCTTTCTCCCTTCCGGTGTAGCAAATGGGACTGATGTAGGATATCATTATTTTAGTTGTGCTTTTTGTTTTAAATTACATCGTACAGTTGCTGGACTTGTTACGCTGTTCCCCGCTCTGTCAAGAGGAATGGTGGCATACAAATAAAATTAAACAGCATTGGCATCAACGTCATTATCTGAAGTAGGGAGTAGGTGATGAGGTAGGAACCTGCTAGCCCTATACAGAAGCCCTTCTCTGGAAAGGTTAGCTGTCTCCCAGCTACATAGTGAAGTCTAGATCCATCCAACAATGCTAGGTGGAAGATTAGCAAAATCTGCTTCTCGAATAATTTCAACCATTTTTTTTTTTAAAAAAAAGTTCTTGTCCATCAAATTGAATAGTAAAACTGAACCAAATGCTGGTAGAGGTTTTGTGCCATTGTAAATGGTAGCGTTTACAAGTCAGCAAGTTAGAGAAGAGCCACCTGTTGCCTTAATTGCCAATAAAATTTCTGCACATCACATGGATTGGAACCAGATGCACTGGATTGGAACCAGAACAAGGTAGTTGCACTTTTAGTTCTCACTGAAATCAATGGGACTTAAGTTAGCTATGACTAACTTCTCACATGGATTTCAGTGGAATCCAATTTGCTTTGGATTCAGCCCGTTTTCTTTTTAAAAAACCCCAAACATTCCATTTTACAATATGGCACCGTGCCATAGACTGATGTAAACAGGTATCATGTCAGTATTGTATTTTCCAAAGCACAGAGACAAGTTGAGCTCAAGAAGGCTTATGATGACAACATATTTATGCACACACACATGCAATCAGTGCTCGGGATCTGTAGCTTAGTTGCCTTCCAGAAGTTTGGATGTTTAGTTCTAAGGCAGGCATGGCCAAACTTGGCTCTCCAGATGTTTTGGGACTACAATTCCCATCATCCCAGACCACTGGTCCTGTTAGCTAGGGATGATGGGAGTTGTAGTCCCAAAACATCTGGAGGGCCAAGTTTGGCCATGCCTGTTCTAAGCATTGTCCTATGAGCAATACTCCTTTCTCCCACATCCACCTAAGACTTTAGGAGTACTCGTCCACCGATGTATATGGGGAGTTGATGTAACTTGATGCTGTTGACATGGCTTTGGAGCTCCTGTGTGAGCAACCATTGAAGCTGGGTTCCTGTGAAGGAGCTCTTTTCTTGCGGCTAGACTTGTTGGTTTCTCCATCGCTGGGGTCAAATACTACCGACATGCTGGATTCCATTCTTGAAACTGTGTACAGACTACTTTGCCTGGTAGGGTGGAACCTGGTTGTCTTGAGTTCCAGTTCATCGTAACTAGATACTTCGATGAAAGGACACCACTGGAAAGCTCTCTTGAAACCAGCTCTGAACCTGAAAACAAAGAAACCCAATCACTCGCAATGTATTTGTACCACAGGAGATATCAAACAGCATAATGTTGCAAGCTTAGGCACCTAAAATGGTGGGGAGAGGTGGCGGTGTTTCAACATGTAGTACAGTTACTATGGCAGAAAATGTAATCAGGCTTGTGGGACGAAGGGGGAATGGAGAAAGGGGAACAAGCAGCACAAAGGGACATATCAGGGAACAAGGAAGTGTTTAACTGAGAAGGCACTCTGCACATGGATGTGTGCACATTCATCAATGGGAGTTAAACATCTAGGGACCTGTTAGCATGTTTGAGAAATGAACAGGACATGTGGAGGACATCTGGGGTGTACTTGTGCAAGACATCTAGAGTGCCAGAGGTAAACACTAAGGGAAAAGAGGCAAATTAGGTGAACCAATTAGATACTGAAGTGTCTATCATTAGCTTTTAAGGAGCCCCAGTGTCTTAAGAACCGTATAAATATGAGGTACGTGTGATCTCTTTGACTTGGTCTCCTGGCCTTGTGCTGGACAGGAGAGCATGGGATCCCTGGCTGGCAGGGGAAAAGTCTTCAAGAAACAATTCTGTGAAGCTAACCAATTGAGTTTCTTAGCTTTAAGCTTTTAACTTGATTATTCAATTGCCTGTTTCCTGGTATAAACTTGCAATAAGCTTTAATAAATTCAGTTTGTTTTGGATGCATGCCAGGGCTCCAGGTGTCTGTCTGCCTAGTTATGTGACCTGGACCCTGTGATCATCATCTGAGACCCTTCTTCGTGTGCCTCCTCCACAGGAGGTCTAGAAAGTGGCAAAACAAGGACAGGCCTTTTATGTGGTGGCTCTCCACTTGTGGAATGCTCATCCACGGAAAACTCGCCTGGTGTCTTCATTACATATCTTTAAGTGCAAGGCAAAAACATTCTTTTTCTTCCAGGCCTTTGGCTAATTAAACAATCTATAGCCTTTTAAATGGAGGTATTGTTTTTGTTTGTTATTATGGTATGAATTTTGCTGTTTTTATATTGTAAACCACCCTGTGATTTTTGCATGAAGTCCAGCTACAATCAGGTTAGCTTCTCCCCTGCAATAAAGGCTTAGGTTAGTTATCTGGATTTGTAAAGACGTGCTGATAAAAACCAAAGGACTGTGTATGTTTGATTCTATGTTTACAGATGTAGGCAATAACAGACGCTCTGGACAGGGACAGATGCATTGTTTTCTGTATTAATAATGCCGTTCATATGTTTTGAGACTGAAACAAGGTGAGAAATGTAGTTTAGCTACCTGACATTCAGAAAGACATCTTAAGGCAGCCCTGTTCAGGGAAGTTTTAAATGTGTGATATTTTAGTGTATTTTTGGTTTCTGTGGAAGCCACCCAGAGTTGCTGGGGAAACCCAGCCAGATGGGCGGGGTACAAATAATAAATTATTATTATTATTATTATTATTATTATTATTATTATTTAGCTAGAGTGTTCCTATAGCCACCAGAGGCAAAATGCTTTGTTTGAGTTAAAGCAGGTGAATCAAAGTCAAATGAGAATTAAAAAGCAGACCAGTGCCTAACAGATGAATCGAAAAGCATAGTTCACATTTCAGCCTGAAGGGAGCAGAAAGTAAACAATGTTTTCTGCTACTTCATTTTGTGTTCCAAGTCCAACATCTACACATCTTGCAATCCATTGCATCTTGCATAATATGGCATGGGTGAGGGAAGCCATATTAGTCTGCTACAGTAAACACAAGGCAGAGTCTTGTAGCACCATATTGATGAACAGATTATTGTGGCATATGCTTGTAAATCTGTTAGTCTTGAAGGTGTAATCAGGCTCAGTCATGAAGGGTTGCTAATTAAAAAAATAATTCAATCAGTTCCTGGTTGGCATTTATCAGTATCACTAAAGCAAAATGTGCTCCCATGCCATTAAAAACTCATCTATGATGTATAAATTATTATTAGAATGGCATTTGAAGGATGAAGAGGTTAAATCAGTTATGATTCAATGGGCCAAAGATTTTGGACATAACATTCAATTTGATGATTGGATAAAATTATGGAAGGAAGGGATGAGATTTACAGCATGCACCACAATTAAAGAAAATGTTATGAAAATGATATATCGATGGTATATAACACCAGTCAAATTAAGTAAGATGTATAAAGTGAGTAATAAATGTTGGAAATGTAAGGAGAAAGAAGGGACATTTTATCATATGTGGTGGGAATGTAAAAATGAAGTGCTTCTGGGAAATGATATATAATGAGATAAAGAAAATATTGAAATATACATTTCTTAAAAAACCAGAAGCATTCCTATTAGGAATTTTAGGTGGTGAGATAAAAAGGAAGGATCAGAAAGTATTTTTGTATGCAGTAACAGCAGCTAGAACTCTGGTGGCCCAGAAATGGAAACAAGAAGAAATGCCCACGACTGAAGAATGGAGAACGAAATTACTGGATTATGCAGAACTGGACAGATTAACAGGGAGGATTCGCAACCGACGGGACCAAAGATTCACTGAGGACTGGAATAAATTTACAGAATATATTGAAATATTGGTGATAATGATATAACGTTTGTAAGTTTCCAAGAAGCTCTGTAAGAAGGTTTGGTAGAAATATTGTTTAAATAATATGGTAAGATAAGATATACATAGTGCAATATAAATGAAGAAATGTGAAGATATGTAATAACTACGGAAAATTATCAGACATGTTGATGGAAGTCTAAAAGAAAAAAAGATGTGTGATGAATTCTTAATGTTTAATTGTGTTATAAATTTGTTTTTATTGGAAAATTAATAAAAATTATATACAAAAAAAGAAAGAAAAAAAGATGGCAATGCCACTCCATGTCTGAAGATCAGCTATATAGCTGCAAATAAAATGTTTTAAGTGCAATATGCAATGTGACACTAGATGGCAATGGTGAGCCTTATGGAAAATTCAATGTATTTTTAAAAATGCTTTAAGAAAGCATTTTCAGAACAGTTTTTATATGTTGTGTAGATTCCACCTGAGTTCAATGAAATAGGCACACAGTTCCTACTCATTATGTAGATAGAAGGGAAGTGGTGATACTGTGAAACAGCATGAATCGGATTCTGTCTAGCAAATTCAAAGCTACTTTATCATTCGGTGGGCTCTAGTGGCATCTCCTCCCTAGAATGTACTGTATCAGGCAGAAAGAAGACTCAAGAAACCAAGGTGGTTATGTGCTCTGCTTTGCAGAGGCCTGCCCTCTGTCTGAAGGAGTCTTCTGCTTGAAATAGAAAGTACCGCAAGATTCAAGGGAAAGTAGGAGGATATCTTGATTTGAAAATGTGAATACAGTGGTACCTCAGGTTAAGTACTTAATTCATTCCAGAGGTCCATACTTAACCTGAAACTGTTCTTAACCTGAAGCACCACTTTAGCTAATGGGGCCTCCTGCTGCTGGCGCGCCGCTAGAGCACGATTTCTGTTCCCATCCTGAAGCAAAGTTCTTAACTTGAAGCACTATTTCTGAGTTAGCGGAGTCTGTAACCTGAAGCGTATGTAACCTGAAGCGTATGTAACCTGAAGCATATGTAACCGGAGGTACCACTGTAAGCGAAATGAAAATGCCCACAGTCGTCCGACAGGTGTTCAACAGTGGAATTTGCTGCCAAGGAGTGTGGTGGAGTCTCCTTCTTTGGAGGTCTTTAAGCAGAGGCTTGACAACCATATGTCAGGAGTGCTCTGATGGTGTTTCCTGCTTGGCAGGGGGTTGGACTCGATGGCCCTTGTGGTCTCTTCCAACTCTATGATTCTATGATTCTAGGTTATTCCTAAATTACAGCCACAAATGCCTCACGGAATTCTGAGGCGATCTTACCTTTTATTGAGGCAGCAGTAGATGATCGGGTTGTACATGGTGGAGCTCATAGCAAGCCAGAAGGTGGCTAAGTAGACTTGCTGAATGTATTTCCAGCGGCCCAAGTTCTCATAGATGCCAGTAGCTATAAAATAAATGTGGTACGGCAACCAGCAGACTGCAAATGTCAGGACGACAACAATCATCATTTTAACCACCTGCAGGAAAGGAGAGGAGTTTTGGGAAAATGTGTGGACATGACTGTCTTTTAATCAATAAATTTTATTTTTTGAATAGAACTAAAATACAGGGAACACACACACACACACACACACACACACACACACACACACGATAAAGAACACTGAAACAAATAAAGAAACTCACTAATAATAATAATAATCCTGCCCATCTGACTGGGTTGCCCATAGTATATCATGTTTGTGGGATAACAAGCACACAAATGATAGCATATATGTCTTATTATATGACACGTGCATCATATTCAGAGATAGATATATAGGTAGAGAGGTAGGCACCTGTACTAAATTGGAATTTGACCAGAAGCTTCCGTGTAGGAAATAGGCAGAAACCACGATGTAATAATCTCTTTGACATAATAGCTCCTGAACATCTTTTATTCTATGCAACACCAGATTATTAATGTTGCCCATTTGCAGCTGTTAGAACTTGAGACAAATCTATCAACATTCTGGACATCTGGATGATAATGGGAAGAGGCAAAGCAGAGTATTAAGCAGGGACAAACATGTGCCAATATCCCCCCTCCCCCCAGGGAGCACAAAGCATTCCAATAGGGAACCAGGCCAAAGGATAGAGACTAAATTAGTTTTCATCAAGTTACTGTCCCTGCAAGGCTTAATGTGAGCAGCTGTTTTTCTTCAGGGCACTTTCTCCCTGGTGTGGCAAACATTGTTTTTTGAGAAGGGAATTGCCCACACAGAATTTACATCTGAATCTCAAGGCGCTTGAATTAGTGACCTCTATGATTTAAGAAAAAGCAACTATCTGCATTTGGGCTTGCTGACTGGCTAGCTAGATCTCTTTTATGATTCACAGACCACAAACACATAATGAATACCACCTTCCACTTCTCCATTACGTGATCTTTATTGTGCTGTTGTGTGTGGTTTAGTTTTAGTTCTTAGTTTTAAGTGTGTTGTCTAGCCACTTTGGGGGTCAGCAGGTCAAAAAGCCAGCGACTGTATGAACGGATAAAACAAAGGACTTGACACATGAAGCGATGAAGTGGACCCTCTTGAGAATGGTCAGATAAGGAACACTTAACTTCATTCATTTCCCTCTACTTCAAAAGTAATAACCATAACCAGAATATGGAATTCCTGGACCAGAGGTTCTCAGTGGAGCACAAAGGGTAGAACAGAAAGAAAAAGTCTAGGTCAGGGGTCAGCAAACTTTTTCAGCAGGGGCCCCGTCCACCGTGCCTCAGACTTTGTGAGGGGCAAGACTATATATATTTTTTTGGGGGGGAGAACAAATTCCTATGCCCCACAAATAACCCAGAGATGCATTTTAAATAAAAACACACGTTCTGCTCATGCAAAAACACCAGGCAGGCCCCATAAATAACCCAGAGATGCATTTTAAATAAAAGGACACATTCTACTCATGTAAAAACATGCTGATTCCCGGACCGTCTGCGGGCTGGATTTAGAAGGCGGTTGGGCCGGATCCGGCCCCTGGGCCTTAGTTTGCCTACCCATGGTCTAGGTTATGCATTAAACAAGAAGGAAAGATTAAATACTCTTTAAATGAGGAGAAACCCACAAGACTCTTTTTTAAAAGATGGTTGTCAGAAAGGACACTAAAATAAGATGCGCTGGGATGACTTCAAGGGCACCCACCTCCCCTGCAAGCTTAGAGAGGTGTAAAGGAAGTGAATGCAGAGATTTAGCAATGGGCATCCTTTTTGCCTTTGGCATACTTATGACTGTAGCTCCATGGTAAGAGGATCTGCCTTGTGGTGGAAGGTTCCAGGCTCAATCCACATCATATCCAGGTAAGACTGGGGTTGTGCTTTATGTGGAACCCCAGAAAGATGCTGCCAGTCAGTGTAGACTATGGTGAGCTAAATAGACCAACCTTTTGATTTGGTATAAGGCAGCTTCCTATTTCAGTGCTAATTTTTTTGCTGCCCCAGTTTCTCTCTGTGTATTCTTGTATGATGCCTGAAAGCAAAGAAGTCACAATGCCATGACATACAACATCAAAAGTGGGTTTGTTCATGTCTTGTTGTTCCTGTGAGTCATGTCTTCTGGCAGCTTGTGGATGATGGAAGCCTTCTTATAAGTGTTAACTGAATGCTTTCCCCAGTGTTGTGACCTGCCCATCTTGTGTCACTGCAGACTCAGAGATCTGCTTCTGTTATATGTAGAACTGACAAAACAAAGATACTCCCCGCCCCCACCACTGAAATTGCTAGTGCTAAAAAAGATGATGGGGATAACTTTTACTAAAAGACCAGAGGCATTTCTAGTAAGTATTTTAGATAAAGAGATCCCCAAAAATCTAAGAGAGGTATTCTTGTATGCAACCGCAGCGGCTCGTATACTTGTGGCCAAGGGATGGAAAGATCACGAGGCTCCAAAAATAACAGATTGGCAAATCAAATTACAGGAATTGGTGGAGATGGCTCAACTGACTAGTAAATTCAGAGGAAACTCAAAGCAAAAAATTGCGGAAAAATGGGATGGTTATAGAAGATATGTTCAAAAATACAATAATAGTTTTGACTCTGTGCTAGCATCCGAGTGATAAAGGAACTAAAAGGAGGTGGACAACAATTAAGGATTTATTATGTTTTCAGAATGTATTAGAAAAATTATATAGAAAGGTTTATTGTTTTGTGTACATTCAAATGTAAGATAAAATATATGCAAAGGGACTTGACAGGAATTCAAAGTTGAAGAAAAGATTTTGGAAGATAAAAGGGGAAAAATATTTACTTTCATTATTATCATTTTATGTGTGGGTGTGGGTGTGTGGGTGTCTGCACATATGTGTGTTGTTGTATGCAATGTTTGGGAGGAAATAAGACAGTAAATAACAAATAACAAACTAAAAAAAAAGAAAAGGAAATTGGTAGTGCTGGTGATCCAAGAATTAATACTGCATTTACAGTGGTGCCTCGCAAGACGAAATTAATTCGTTCCGCGAATTTTTTCATCTAGCGAATTTTTCGTCTTGCGAAGCACGAAATCCCATAGGAATGCATTGAAAATCAATTAATGCGTTCCTATGGTCAAAAAAAGTCCAAACAAAGCCAAATTTGGTACAACAAGAGTTTATTAAGTGCTCTTTAAAGTCACACATACTGTAAAGAGCATTTCAAAATTCAAACCCAGAATTTTTTTTAAAAAACAGCAGAGTTGCCCAATGGTCACAGAAAATAATAAAAATGCAGAAAAACACACACAAGCTTCCAGATTCTTGCAAACCCCTCCCCAACTGTTCCCCCAGCCACCCAGCACATAGAAATTCAAATCCAGATTTTTTTTAAAAAAAACAGCAGAGTGGCCCAATGGTCACAGAAAATCATAAAAATGCAGAAAAAAACACACAAGCTTCCAGATTCTTGCAAACCCCTCCCCAACTGTTCCCCCAGCCACCCAGCACACAGAAATTCAAATCCAGATTTTTTTTAAAAAAACAGCAGAGTGGCCCAATGGTCACAGAAAATCATAAAAATGCAGAAAAACACACACAAGCTTCCAGATTCTTGCAAACCCCTCCCCAACTGTTCCCCCAGCCACCCAGCACACAGAAATTCAAATGCAGAATTTTTTTTAAAAAACAGCAGAGTGGCCCAATGGTCACAGAAAATCATAAAAATGCAGAAAAACACACACAAGCTTCCAGATTCTTGCAAACCCCTCCCCAACTGTTCCCCCAGCCACCCAGCACACAGAAATTCAAATCCAGATTTTTTTTAAAAAAAACAGCAGAGTGGCCCAATGGTCACAGAAAATCATAAAAATGCAGGAAAAAAACCACAAGCTTCCAGATTCTTGCAAACCCCTCCCCAACACCAAGTCCTTGAATTCCAAACACCCCAACCCAAAATCCAAAACCCCCCAAAATAGTTTTAAAAGCTTAACTTACCAAAAGGCTGCAAAAGAAGTTTTGGAAAAGCTTCAAAAATCACCAAAGTCTTTAAAAACCTCAAAAAAGGCTACTATGTACACTGCGTTCTATGAGTTGCTCCTCGAAGTCAAGTCGCAACTGTATTAACGGTGTTAAGAAAAAGGAAACAAACTTGCAAGACGTTTTCGTCTTGCGAAGCAAGCCCATAGGGAAATTCGTCTTGCGAAGCAGCTCAAAAAACGGAAAACCCTTTCGTCTAGAGCCATTTCCGACCTTGGGAGGAGAGGGGGTTGTGGGTTACCCCCTCCCACACACGCGGGGGCTGGCCTTTTGCCCCCGCGAGATCCAGGGAATCCCCGGGCGTGCCTGCGACCCGGCCCGCCAATCGGCGGGCTGGGGAGGCGTGGCCTAGCCTACTTAAGGCCAGGCACGCCCGGGGACCGCCCTCTTTCCCCTTGCCAGCTGAGCGGTTTTCCCATCCCACCCATCCTTAGGCTTAGCTAGCTATAAACTTGCTATGGACTCCGGTTGGTCGCCGCAAGGGGCCTGGTAGGAATTTTTCCAATTTGGCGCACTGTCAGCCTTTTGGTTTTTTCGCCTACCTCGTAGCAATCGTCACAACTTCAGTGGTATTTGGCGGTTAGGCATTGGCAGGGGTTTATTGTTATGCAAATGAATGGGGGGGAAGGAAGCGCCATCACCTTCCCCCAAGAAAAGGGTAGTCCGGTAAAGGACTCCGGGGGGCGTTGCCTTGTCCAAAACCTAGGGAGGTAAGGGCCTCCGGCACGCCCCCGAGCGGTGACACCCGTGGGATCCTAGTTGGCGTACTTCAACAGGACTCCCACAGCTTGTGGTTAACCCTTCCCGGTCTCCATGCCGGGTAGTCGATAGGAGCCAATGCCTAAGGTCAATACCTTTCAATTCTGTAATCAATAAAGTTGTGGCCTTATTATGCCCATTAACCTTAATTAATGTGTCCAGTGTCTTCATTTCACATGGGGGAGGGGACTTGCCACGCAACGAGTTTTCCGTCTTGCGAGGCATTCGTCTTGCGGGGCACCACTGTATTTAGAGTTATCTCCATGTATTCATTAATTTTCACATTCTTTTTGACCATCTAAAGCAGTGTTTCCCAACCTTGGGTCTCCAGTTGTTTTTGGACTACAACTCCCACCATCCCTAGCTAGCAAGACCAGTGGTCAGATTGATGCGAATTGTAGTCCAAAATCAGCTGGAGACCCAAGGTTGGGAAACACTGAAGTAGGGCACCAGCAGTTGAAGGCCACTGGGCCAAATCTGTCCACCCTCTGTGATGCCATCAACACATCAATTTTCAACTGCAGCAGGGAAAGAGAGATACAGATGAGTATTATTTATGTCAAAATAAATTGGCAGTAGGCAATTTTGGGGGTGGGGCAACAGGGAGCTTTGGCTCAGCAACCTCCAAGGTGGCTGGAGGGTCAAAAACAGTTGTTCCCATCAATGAAGACATGAAAAATTAGTTATAGTGGAAAGGTTTGGTTTTGAGGGCTTACTATGTGTCAGCCAACATTCATCCTTAAATATTTATCTGGAAGTGCAGTTGCACGTCTTGAGCAGTAATATTTACATGCTGCTCAGCAACACATGCTCTCCGGGTAGTTTGCGGTAAATAATAATAATAACAACAACAATAACAGCAGCAGAGGTAACAACAACAAATTGTTTAAAGCAATTCAAGCACCTCCATGAAATTAGAACAAAACAAAATCAGCAACAGCATGAAACAGTCTAAAAGCAGCAACGTCAAACAACATCAGTACAAAGATGAAAATAGTACTTCTAGATTTTAACATTTTAAATGATTCTATGGTTACAAGACGTGGTAAAATAAATAAAAGTGTTGAAAGGACTCCAGTCAGGGGTGGAACGACTGAAAAGAGTTTCTATTGTTTTGATTGCTCCTGCAATTGCAATGATTAATCTATTTCTGCACAAGAAGTTTGAAGACATGCTAAATTATTGCTTCACCGCTATGAATTTGGAGGATTTGGAAAACTGCGTTTTAGAATGATAGAATCATAGAACTGTTGAGTTAGAAGGGACCCCAAGAGTCAACTTGTCTAAGTAAGGCAGGAATCTCAACACACAGTCCCCCAACCAATTTGAAACCAGACCAGACCCTGCTTAAGCTTTGCAAATATGCTAGCTGCTTTATTACTGCACTCTGGAAGGAATAAAACTAGTGCTTTTCCTCAGTGCTACTTTAGCCCTATAAATATAGAAAATTGTAGTCCAGCTCTCCTCCTACTGCAATAACTACCACTTACATTTTAACAGTGTGCATTTATTTATTGCATTTTCTCCCAACACAATAACATTTCCTTGTAAAGGGTAGGCAGCATATACTTAAAGAGAAAATATTTTGCTTTTGTTCATGGAAGGCTTCTTTCCCTATCATTGAAGTCCATTTCAGATTGAAGCTGCTAAAATGGAATGGGAAACATGTACCTCTCTAGATGTTGTCAAGACTCCCTCTTTCATCATCCCTGACCATGTTGACTGGGTCTGAAGGGACTGGAATCTAACAAAATCTAGAGAGACATAGGCTCCCCATTCCGGCTGCTAGTCATAAAAGAGAAGAAGGAAACATGACCTCAGTACTGAGCACTCACACTTTGCTCTTCCTCTCTGCTTTGGTCACATGTTTTGCATTACTAAACATTATGGGATTGCATTATGAGTTTTCCCATCCTTCCTGCCCCTTGGAGAAAGTGGGGTCTTCCAACACAATGATGTCACACGACCTTTGTTTGCACTACCAGGAGTGCAATTCTATCTATGGGACTTACTTCCAGGTCAGTGGGTATTGGATAACACCTAAATGCAATTTCTGCAGTAGTTGGTGGATTGTAACTGAAAGGAAATATGATGCAGGTAAAGAAGAATGGAAGGCAAAGATGTCTATGGCAATATCTCCAAGAGCCAACTTTGTGTGGTGACAGCAACATAGAAGAGGTTGGGATGAAAGAAGGAAGAAAGTGCATGGCTATGCAACACTGAGGGTGTTCTATGAGGGTTCTGTTGCTGTCCAATGCACAGGGAATGCCGCAAGGCTGACCAGGACCATGGATAGCTCCAAGTGAGCAACTTGCTCCAACTTTTGTCCAGAGCAGACTGGGAGCCTTTAAGTCACTGTTTCCTGACTATCTCCTCCAGACTCTATCTGCTAATGGAGAACTTCAGAGCTTTAAAGAGCCAACCCCTGTACTGAAGACAGGAATGCTTTGTCTATCCATAGCCTTCTTCTGGTGGGAGGCATCTGGTTCCTCAGGCTTACAGGAAAGTGCCCAATAGGGTCCAGGTTCTCTTCACAGAGGCCCTGGTGGTTTGGGAATTAATTCTGGGGGCTCCTGTTTGACAGCTTTGAGTGCAGTGGTTTCCTGATTTCCAGCAGTCAACTCTGACTCTGTGTCTAGATAGCTGCTGGATACAGGGATCATGACAGTTGCACTGTCCTGGCTGCTCTGCAGGTGGTAATTGCAAAAGTGGGGCATTTCAGGATTGCAACAGGGGAAGGTTGTAACTTCTGGATCCAAAGCCCCTCATTCCCAGATGCCTTCTCACCCTGGGGGGAAAAAAGATATGCAAGCCCTGACACTGCACAACTATTTTCTGAATCAATGATGGAGAAATTTTGAAAAAGAAAAAGAAAATCAAACGAGGATAAAAAATGGAAAAGCCACCCATTTTCATTTTTTAAAAACACTATTAATTATTTTTAATTTGTATAACAAATGTAACCAATAAAAATAAATTAAAGAGAGGAAAGAACATTACAAAATCTGGACCCTACCCAATTGAACAAATTCAGAAACAAAAATATGAAGATGTTTCTTTGTGAAGAAAACTTTTGAATAAATGCAAAGGGTAACAAAAACAACAAGAAGAAAAAGACAAACATTTAACAAATCCATATACTGGAACATACCCTAGGGACTCTCCTTTCGTTGTCTGAAATATTTGCATAAGCAATAAAATTCTACCAGTCTCCTGCAAACATTTCTCTGCATTTACTTCCTCTAGCTATTCTTAGTGTACATGTAAGTTTCTCTGATAGGGCTACCTGCCAAATCCTTTTACACAATGCTGTTAAATCAGCTCCATTAAGGTCCTTCCAAAAGCTGGCAATAGTCATATGTGCAGCTACAAAATTAGCCAAGCAGGGATTTATCAAGTCTGTATTATCATCTGTAAATACATTCAGTAACACAGGCTCTGGGGTCTTCTTAATAGATTGTTAGGTGATTTTACCCACGCTGCACCTTGACTTGGACAAGCCTAGCAGGGCTTAGGAAGTGGTGACTCCTCTGCTAAAGACTCCACTCCATCGTTACTCCAAAGTGGGGAAGACTTGGATCAGGTGGACTATGTGCCTGTTCAGTCTGCTGTCTAGCTGCTGGTTTTGGGTTCTTTATCTTTAAATTAGACCTGGACAGCTCTTCAAAGAAAAGTCTGCCTTCTGCAGAGTACGACACACAACCACACCAGGTAACAGCCACTACAAACTTTGTTCTAAGCTCAGCTCTGATGCCACTGTCCCATTTTCAACCTTTTATCTGTCTTACGTTCCAAAAATGCTGACTTGTCTATAGTATGGCATCATTAGCGGACTGAAAAACAGTACCCAGTACCACAGGCAAAATTATTATTATATTGTCATAAATCATCCAGTACTTTTCACGGCAAATTGCATTTCTCCACTCCATTTCTTCCGTTCCCAGTGGGTTAGGTTGTTCCTTGCATTGAGCTGGCAGGCATATGGCGTCAATCAATCAATATGATTACGCACTTGGTGATCAGTCTGGCTGTTTCTCACCAGCTTCTCCCAAGTTCTGCTTTAGCCTAAGGAATCAGCAGATAATTTATTTATTTTTATCCAGCAACCTGACGTGTCACTTTGAAAATCTATAAAAGTGTATAAATGAGTGCACTTTTCCATCAATATTTACCCTTCCTGGAAACTGTAGTTTGTTAAAGGTGCCAAGAATTGCGAGGAGCTAAAATTCCTGGAGTGGTTCAACACTCAAGTCCTCTTAACACTCAAGCCAGTGTGGTGTAGTGGATAAGAGCGGTAGACTTGTAATCTGGTGAACCGGGTTCGCGTTTCCGCTCCTCCACATGCAGCTGCTGGGTGACCTTGGGCTAGTCACACTTCTCTGAAGTCTCTCAGCCCCACTCACCTCACAGAGTGTTTGTTGTGGGGGAGGAAGGGAAAGGAGAGTGTTAGCCGCTTTGCGACTCCTTTGGGTAGTGATAAAGCAGGATATCAAATCCAAACTCTTCTTCTTCTTCTTCTTCTTCTTCTTCTTCTTCTTCTTCTTCTTCTTCTTCTTCCCCCCAGAGACGTCTGGGAACTGTAGCCCAGGGAGTCCTCTATAAACTCAGCCCCATTAACAAAGGTGCTTTGGGTGAAGCCACGATCATTTAAAGTGCCATGATATTGTTTAAAATGTTTAGTGCAGATGGGGCCCTAGACTCAACTTGCACCATGGCAGAGGTGAGGAACCTTCTTTTCTATCGACTGTCACATTCCCTTGGAGGTCATTCCCATGGCAAGAAAGGGCAGATCCAGAAGGACGCCCCCTTTCTCTCTCTTTCTGCCACTCCCTTCCTCTCTGACACCCTTCCTCCTCAGATGAAATTAGGTCAAGGCCCCCATGTTGCCCACCTTCCAGCTCTATGACATCCAGTTTCTAATTTGAGGAGAATGAGGTGGTGGGGGAAGAGGAGCCGGCACACAAAGCCAGTGATTGGCAAGCAGTTCCCTTTGCCCTAGTAAGGGCATTGTGCTACATAGATCCCTGAAGAGGACCTGAGGCTTCTTCATTTGCCTGGAACATAGATGGGATGCATGGTTTGCATTAGGGAACATTGTTTGACACCCCTGACATGGCATTCTTGTGGAAGAATAAAACAGGAGCACTGATGGGGAAATGTATTTCCGTGGTTATTAGCCATGGCAGCTATGTCCTGCCTTCACTGTCAGAGGCAGTATATGCACCTGAATAGCAGTTACTGGGAATCACAGGTGGGGATACTGATGTTGCCCTCATGTCCCACTTGCAGGGTTCCCACAAGCAACTGGTTGGTCACTGTGAGAACAGGATGCTGGACTAAATAGGCCATTGGTTTGATCCAGCAGGCTCTTTTTATGTTCTTATGTCACAGAACAGAATTCTCTGTTCTTAGCATAATCACGGGCAAAGCTAAGAGCAACCACCACAAACCCTCTCGCAACACTGATTGAGCTATTCTTATCAAAGGTGTCTTGGTCTCAAGCAGGGCCAGATTGAGGTTTGATGAGGCCCTAAGTTACTGAAGGTAATGGGGCCCTTTATATGTCCAGCTGTCCTTTGTCAACAACAAATTGTCGCTGTTTTTTGTGTTGAACATAGGCTATGGACCTTTATGGACCTAATTTATGGACCTAATAGGTATCTAAAGCCATTTGCAAATGCAGAATGTACGCATCCTATATATAGAAATGAGCAAACCAGTGAAATTTTAGAGAGCAGGCTAGCAGGCGGGGCCCTTTACTGACATCATAGGAGCCTACACAACACAAAACACTGATGCTGTATGTAGGTTTTATTTTATTTGTTTTTTTATCTTATATTTTGGAAACATATATCCAGTTTTTTCCCCTTTACATTTTTTTGGGGCCCCTAAGAGAGTGGGGCCCTAAGCTACAGCTTGTTTAGCTTATATGTAAATCCAGCACTGGTCTCAAGAGGATTACAACAAAATTGCAATGCTATCAAGTTTTCCAAGCAGCTCAGCAATAAACTATTTCTTTGTCCTTTGTAGTTGCCTTTTAACAACCGCAGTAAACTTTGCACAGTAACTGGAATTGATGGCCCAAAATGAAATACTGGATGCTTGCAAAGGCTAATGGCAGAGAAGCACCTATATTGTTCTATTTGAAAATAACATAGATGCAGGGATACTTGAGACTCAGCTCCCTCGGCCTAATTAATATTCTGCCCACTATCAATCCATGCAATTGCTAATTGCATGAATGATGCCACCTCTAGTTTGGTTCTGAGCTGCATGAAGCAATTGTCAATATTGATAAGACAACCCCATTAAAAAAAAATAAGAGTGAAAAGACAGAACTTGTTTGACACATAAAACACCATTTATTTGGAAGAGGCCTCTGTTCTTTGGGAGAAGTCATTTGGTTTGAATGAATCACAGGGAAAGTCAAGGTGTGGGAGCATATCTGCACTGCTATGCATTAAATCCATTTATTACCAAGTTTGATATCAACAGACCTTTTGCCCTCCCAATTTTAGTGTTAAATTAAGAGCTGGAAATTGAATTAATTGCTATTCCGTTAGCAGAGTGTAAGGAAATGTGTTCCATTGCCTTTAGTAGTGGGATGGTTAAATAAATAGTATGCAGCGGCAGGAAAGTTGACGTTAACAGGCTTAATTCAAATTAGAGATGCCTGTGAGAATATAGATGAGATTTCTGAAAAAATGCTCTTTCTTTCCGGATGTTTGGAACAAGAAATGGAGAGGGAGGTGGTTATTATAAATCCTAGCTCTGATCTGGACAGAAAGATCTGTGAGCAAAAGCAAGTCCTGCGTTGGATTCTCCTCTTTCGCCAGTGTTAGGCTACTGAAAGGAGGAAAAACCCATTGCATCCAGAATTCTAGAATCTGCTCAGCTAGAGGTACAGAAACTACTCCCAAGCATATGTGAAGATTGTTGGCAGCACTGCTGATCACTGGAGCCAGCCAAAAGAGATTTTGCTGCCTGAGGTAAATATGGGTTTATGGTTTGTCTCGCTCCACACAAACCATGAGTGGTAACCAAAGCTTTGTTCATGGATTTACAGCTTGTGGTTTTTCTGGAGGAGACAAACTGTGAGCCCGAATTTGGATGACATGCTAAGCCAAACAATGGCTTCTCTTCAGAATAGCACAGCAGCAGCACCAGAGGGGGAACAAAGCAGCCACAATATCCTCTCTGGGAACCCACCGGCTTGCGATAAACTATGGTTTGGCTCTATGATCTGAACCAGTGGTTTGCTCAAGGCAAGCCAGTGAACTTTATAGGTCTTCTTCAGGCATTACAACTATGAAGGGGCAACTAGAGTAGAAAAGCACTCTTGGTCTGCACTTTTAGCTTGTTTCTGTCATCACATGACTTGTGCCAGCTTCCTTGTTTTCTGGTGGAAATTCTGCAGCAAGGGAGCAAGCAATGAAGCCCTCCACATGTTTGCTTCCCTGCCCTCGCTGGCTAAATCAGTGAGATCAGGGTAGGGTGTTTGGACCTTGGAGGTGATTCATGCCTCCTTGAAGGAAGGAGTGATTCTTAAAAGCCTTAAGGTGGTGCTCCAGTTCATTCTTAAATCCATCTCAGTCTGGCTTAATAATAATAATAATAATAATAATAATAATAATAATAATATTTATTTATACCCCGCCCTCCCCATCCAAGGCCGGGCTCAGGGCGGCTAACAGGCAATAATAAAAGCAAGTTGAATGAATACAACTTAAAAACAAGATTAAAATACAACATTAAAATATTGAAATATTAAAATATTAAAATGCAGCCTCATCACAGGAGGAGAAAGGAAAAAGAAACAAGGAAAAAGAAAGAAGAAAGAAGAAAGAGGGGGAGGGAATCAAATTGGCTCCAAGCCAAAGGCCAGGTGGAACAACTCTGTCTTACAGGCCCTGTGGAAAGAAATCAGATCCTGCAGGGCCCTGATCTCATAAGGCAGAGCGTTCCACCAGGTCGGAGCCAGTGTTGAAAAGGCCCTGGCTCTGGTTGAAGCTAATCTTCCTTAGGGCCCGGGACCAATAGGGTGTTGCTATTTATGGACCTTGAGGCTCTCCGTGGGGCACACCGGGAGAGGCGGTCCCGTAGGTACGAGGGTCCTAGGCCGTGAAGGGCTTTAGGTGCAGCTATGGAATGGCAATAGTCTTGGTGAGTGATTTGGGCAATGGAAGTGCTGCTCTGATCATTCTCCCACACCTTACAGAAGCTTTTGAAACCATCCACCATGTTATTCTTCTGGGTCACATATCAGGGTTGGGCTTAGCACGAAGTGCATTACAATGTGTTCAACGGGGCATACATCCAGCATATGCAGGATTATATCCTTAGAGATTTCTTTGTTCTGAGCATTGCTTTCAAATAAATTTTCTTCTGCACTTCTTCTTTACAGTGTCTGGCACAGCGAGTGATTTCTCACTTTATCACCACCACCAGACCTTTGACAGATCCTTAGCAGCAGAAAGACTTTTGCTAACAGAAAAGGAGATGGTGGCACCAACCTAGAAAATTGCCTTGTAAAGGATTTGGCTGTTGTTTCATTATAGCATTTAGCCTATAAGCTGAAGATAATGGGAAGCTTTTTAATGGATGACATGGTACATGGTGTTCCCATTCTCACTCTTTACAAACCATCCTAATGACCTAAATGTAGCATTCCACAATGGTACTTTCAGCATATATTTAGCCAGTTTTGATTTCTCTCTCTCTCTCTCTCTCTCTCTCTCTCTCTCTCTCTCTCTCTCGTTCCTTGTGCTTCAATATTTGGGACAAATGAGTGTTGATTTACTGCATAGGTCTACAACCATTCTGAGTCCAGGGGCAGATATAGGCAACCTCTTGGCATCACAAGAGAAACACTGATGATGCTAAAAACTCACCCATCCACTGCAAAACAAGCAACACATTATAAATACCCCCCCCAACAAATAAAAGACCAAAAACATGAACAGAGCAAACAAGTCTTGCTGGGGGAGAAGGACCATAATTGAGTGGTAGAGCACCTGCTTTGTGTACAGAAGGTCTTTGGTTTAATGTCTGATACCTCCAGATAGGACTGGGGAAGTCTCCTTGTCTGAAAACTTGGAGACCCACTGCCAGTCAGTGTGGACTATATTGAGCTAGATGAACCAATGTTCTGGTTTGGTATAAGGCAGCTTTTTATGTCCTTATTGCTCCAACCCCTACCCCCAAAACGAAAAGTGAGAGCAAAAGTCACATTTTATTTTAGCAGGCACAATGTCTGTGGGCAATGTGTTGGGGATCCCACATCAGTAATCTGGAGAAATGTGTAATTTCACTCATTGAAAAATTCTAACTTGTATGTGGATAACTACAAGAGAATTTGGGTATTAAAATGGTTTCAAATTGTATATCTGAATTTGAGCTTTTGGGTCAAGCTTAAACTTTGGAAGATGTGCTCCAAATGTTTTTGTATCAATGCAATATGGATAGCTTTGGCATTCAGTTACTAAAATGGGTTTCTGCCTCTCAGATATGACATTTGACCGCTCTTAAACAGCAGAAGGTTGCAACTAAATCTTGCACACAATTAAGCTGGCATCAAGCTTCAAAAAAACAGCTGCCGAAATAGTTCTAGGGTGAAGGAGAGAGCATTTGTTTTGCACAAGGTGCTCAATGCTCCAGCAATCTCAGTTACTAGAGCAGAAATTAAGTTGGCACATAAAAATGAGTCCGTCAAACACTGCCCACCGGCAACCCTTTATCAGCACTGCAGCCACCATTGCAATGGGAGGAGTAGAGATTTGAATTCTAGGTAAGCTGTCACTCATGGCTTGAATTGCTATAGTGGCAGCTAAACTCACAGACTGAGGGGTGCTTGGGGAGGGGAGCAGGACAGCCCTTTGCTCACCTCTCTCCTTGAGAGGCCTTCGTTCAAACTGCCACAGCTGTTGGAAGAGGTGGTGCCTGACCTGGAGAAATGTGCTCGTTGTGCTCAGAAGGCAGGAGACAGTGTGATGTAGTGGTTAGAGTGTCAGATTAAGGGCTTATCCACACATACATCTTGCCCGGTGTTTTCCAGGCACAGGTCTGTGCTCTGAAGCTCCATTTCCAAGTGCTTAAAGCTGAAGTGCAAAACTGGTAATTTGGGTTTTCCGTGGATTGCTGTTTGCTCCAATTCAGCTTTAAAGAGTAGATCTTCATGGGGAAAGCTCTGGAGCAAAAGAAAGAGTGCTCAGACACAGAGATCTGAAGCGTGGACCATGTCTGGGAAGCACAGAGAAAAGATAAAAGGTAAAGGTAAACCCTAGGACCTGGGAGACCAGGGTTCAAATTCCCACTTGGCTATTAAGCTCACTGGGTGACCTTGGGTCAGTCCAATTCTCTCAGCCTAACTTACCTCACAGGGTTGTTGTGAGGACAAAATGAGGAGGATGAAAATTATGTGTACTACCTTGGACTCCTTGGAGGAAAGGCAGGTTAAAAATGCAATCAGAAAAACAGTAAGTAATCCAGGGATTCTGAAGTAGGGAATGGGTGAATATGTCAATATCACTTTAAAGTGCTACTGAATTTTCACGAGGGTTTAAGAACTGGACTTAAGACTGGAGAAGCTGGAATTTACAGGTTCTCCCATGTCTTGTCTTGTAGTTAATCCAATACTCTGCATTCTCAACCCTCTTAGTTTCATGGACAAAATGAAAAGGAGGTAATAAAATGGCTCATTCAGTCCCCTCCATTCAATAGGTGCTAGGCACAGGAATACTGCTGTGACCCAATTCCTCTTTGCACACCCTGTATTATTATTATTATTATTATTATTATTATTATTATTATTATTATTATTTTAATTTCTATACTGCCCTATACCCAAAGGTCTCAGGGAGATTCACATAAAATATCAAATACATAAAATCAAAACAAAAACAACAACCCAATAACAACCCTCCCCCCCAAAAAAAGAGAGCCAGCGTTTAAATAAAGGTATACGCAGTAGATCAAGTCAGGCAAAGGCCTGGTTAAAAAGGAACGTTTTCTGCCTGGCACCTAAAGGTGTATAATGAAGGTGCCAAGTGAACTTCCCTGGGGAGAGCATTCCACAGACGGGAAGCCACTGCAGAGCAGACCCGTTCTTGTGTTGCTACCCTCCTGACCTCTCGAGGAGGCACACGAAGAAGGGCCTCAGAAGATGATCTCAGGGTCTAGGTGGATTCATATGGGAAGAGGCGGTCCTTGAGGTATTGTGGTCCTGAGCCGTTTAAAGTTTTATAGGTCAAAACCAGCACTTTGAATTGGGCCCTGAAACTAATTGGTAGCCAGTGCAGTTGGACCAGGATCAGTGTAATATGCTCAAACTGTCTTGCTCCGGTGAGGAACCTGGCCACTGAATTCTGCACCAGCTGAAGTTTCCAAACTGTCTTCAAAGGCAGCCCTATGTATAACACATTGCATCTGGTAACCTTGAGGTTACCAGAGCATAGACAACAGTAGTTAGACTATCCCTGTCCAGATAGGGGTGTAGCTGGGCCACCAGCCAATGCTGATGGAAGGCACTCCAGGCCACTGAGGCCACCTGAGCCTCAAGTAACAGCAAAGGATCCAGGAGTGCCCCCAAGCTATGAACCTGCTCCTTCAGAGGAAGTGTAACCCCATCTAAAGCAGGCAATCTCCCACCCATCCAGTCTAGGAAACCACCCACTAACCCACCCTCAGTCTTATCTGGATTGAGTTTCAGTTTGTTGGCTCTCATCCAGTCAATTACTGAGGCAAGACCCTGGTCCAGCACTTCCACTGCCTCGCCTGCAAATGTAAAGGAGAAATAGAGCTGAGTGTCATCAGCATACTGCTGACAACATACTCCAAACCTCCGGATAACCCCACCCAGCAGTTTCATGTAGATGTTAAACAACATGGGGGGTAGAATTGAGCCCTGCAGAACCCCACATTGAAGGTTCCATGGGGCTGAAAAACACTCCCAAGTAACACCCTCTGGGAATGACCATCCAAGTAGGACTGGAACCACCGCAAAACGGTGCCACCCACTCCTAGTTCGGAGAGTTGCTCCAGAAGGATACCATGGTCGATGGTATCAAAAGCCGCTGAGAGGTTGAAAAGAATTAACAGGGAAATGTTTCCCTTGTCTCTCTCTTGACAGAGGTCATCATACAGAACGACCAAGGCAGTTTCTGTGGCAAAACCAGGCCTAAACCCCGATTTTAATGGATCCATAAAATCAGCTTCTTCCAAGAGCACCTGGATCTGGTCTGCGACCACTCACTTCAGAACCTTCTATAGAGATGCTACAGATACAGCCAATTCAGGCCACACGTCTTTTATTTATTTTAGTTTGTATTCTCCCTCATCTCCCTCATCTCTGATGTTGACAGCTGGTAAGAATATTTTTATTAAAACAACAAGATGGAGAGGCAGATACTGTATGTTTTAACAGCTTCCCCCCAAGAACAGGCACACACTGTCCTCTAGCCGGTCCTCAAATGCCTGTGCAATCAGAAAAGATGCTAACAGTCACACCTGAAATTGAAAGTGCCATGGTTCCTTCCAGTGTGACCGAAAAAATAAAAAGGAGGTGGGAAACCTCAGCCAAACATTTCAGGCCATACATTATGCAAAAGGCAGCACCCGCTCAATCAGGGAGAAGCAGGACTTCATTAATGTCATGGATGAAAGTCAGGTTGATAAATGGCATCATCATTTTAACCAAGGCCATTGGGAGCTTTTTCATTAGTGCTTACAATATTTTTTTTTAAGCCATAGCGAAGTCAGAATCGACAGCAGAGAAGACAGGATACTGACATCCTGTTATCATAGTGGATTTATTAGAGCCAGGCTGTTCAGTTTAGCTACAAGTATAAACATACACACGCACACCTTTCATCTATCTATCTATCATCTATATCTATCTATCTATCTATCTATCTATCTATCTATCTATCTATCTATCTATCATCTATCTATCTATCTATCATCTATCATCTATCATCTATCATCTATCATCTATCAATATCTATCTATCTATATCTATCTATCATCTATCTATCTATCTATCTATCATCATCATCATCTATCATCTATCATCTATCATCTATCATCTATCATCTATCATCTATCATCTATCATCTATCATCTATCTATATCTATCTCTCTATCTCTCTATCTATGTATCTATCTATCTATCTATCTAATCTATCTATCTATCTATCTATCATCTCCTACTTTCCCACCTACCAGTGGAGGGCTTAAGGTGCCTATAAATGTGACACACCAACTGCAGCAATTACTGGACAGAGACCATTTATCTACAATGATCCATGCACTGATAATATCAAGGGCGGACTACTGCAGTTTGATTTTATGTAGGGCTGCCTTGGAGGTTGGTCCAGAAACTGTGGCTAGTGCAGAATGCTGTGGCACAGCTGTTGGGTTTTAAAACATGCTTTTAAATGCATGGCATGTACACAGCCTTCCTCTCTATGTTTCCCATTCCTCCAAGCTGCAGCCAGCACAGAGGAGCAGAAAGAAGGACATAGGAAACCCAGCACACATTTTGCATTATTAAATATCCCAAGGGCAAAAGGACAAGGCAGTGCAAAAGCCATGCATTCTCTATCACTGTCCTGTGCTGGTCCTTGGAACAGCAAGGCAGTGATGCACATCGGTTGTCACACCAAGGAGAGCTGAGAGTTTCTGGGCCTCAGTGTCCTGACCACCTCTTCTATGCTCCCACTTCCTTTGGGGTGAAGGAGAGTTTCAGCCCTCTGGCCTGAAGACGGATGCTTCTCCTGTACCCCATAACCTCACCACCTACTGTGTTGTCTGCACCATTGGAATGCGCATTACAAACCAGGCAATCACAACCATAAAGCTACAGGAATTAATCCTGTACTAACCAAGCAAAAATTAGTGGTACATTACCTTCCTCTTGGCTTTCAGCTGCTCGTGATATTTGTCAGATGTATCGCCAGGGATCTCTCCGCCCCAAAGGGTAATTCCAACGATTGTGTAAGTGATACCCATGACAAGCAGTGGGAAACAATAGACAAGGGCGATCACAATGACGTGGTACCTGCAAGAGAGCAGCACTGAACTGATGCATTCTTGGAGAAGGACCCTTCAGAAGCTAAGCATCTGGTTGTCTTGGTAAAAACAACCCGGCTTCATTTGAAGGATAGGGAAACATGGGCAGCGTGCCTATTCAACATTAGGAATAGTATACTAATTTCTTTTTCACACACAACATCCCTTCATCTTGTGTGAAGGGAACAAGAAAGGGAAAAGAACTTCCATCCAAGATAGGGGAGGTTGGTCCATTTGGGTGAATGGGGCACTGCACCACCAACCTTGGTCTGCCCTCAGCCATGCCTACCTTCCTAGGGAGGCTGTTAGCTTCCTTTTCCTTAGTCAGAGGCTATACCTTTAAAGCACACCTGAAGCACTTTCTCCCCACCTTCCCATAGGGATGCCAGGGACAGATTACTCTTGTTAGCAGTCTGAGCTTCCAGAGCTATTGAAATGTGGCTAAGGGCTGCCCAGGGTTGTGTATGGCCCTAGGGCAACTGTTTGCTCACATATGATCTAAAGATATGTGTGATCCTATAGGAGCTCCTTCTTGACACCCGAGATCTTCTGATGAGGGCCTGCGGTTGCTGGAGCCAACTTTCCAGCTGACATTGCATCCATGGCAACAGAAATGATGAAGGAAGGCCACTCGTTTTCCTCCTTTACCCCCACCTCTCCACTAAGGACTTTCACTATTAATTCAAGCTACGAGCTACGCAATCTTTGCTTTGGTCCAGCACAATAGGCTATGCTCTTAGGAGGCCCACATAACAACAGCAAAGCATGCAAAAGCGCATTGCCATTTAAAGCGCAACTTACGTAAATCGCTGTTTCATGCCGCCTGGCCATGAAACGTAGCACAGAGTCCTTGCGGGCATCACATTCGTCTTGGAAAAGAGGCACTGTGGCAAGGCAAGCAGGAATGCCAGAATCCATATGCTTGCAATTACCACTTTCGTAGCTGTGGCAGACAGTCTAGGTTTCAAGGGGTCAATAATGGCCATATATCTGTGGAAACAAAATTGGTAGAAAACATTACAAAATCAGGAATGGTTCGACTACTTTATCTTTCATACAGTACAATGCAGGAAATGAAAATGACTCTTTTGCGATGTCTCTTGCCATTCCTCAGTGGTTGGGCAATAGGATGGCCACAGTGCTGCAAGGCAGAAGATAAATAACTGAAGGCTCCCATGATCCCAAAGTAATAACCCACAGAGGAACTGCCCAGTAAGTCGCTCATTTGATTCATTGTTCAGGCCTTTCATCTTTCCGTTTCCCCTGCAGAGGAGTGATTATGTCTTGCCTAGACATTGCCTGGGACTGGATCCTCTTGACTCAGCAGAAGCCTCAGCATGCTTCCTACAGACATGTCCATAGGGTCATGTGTCACACAGCTGCTCCATTCATTGGAATGTATGTGTATATGCTTGACTCATGTAATCACCCCTCTCTCACAAAAAAAGTAATGGAGGCAGAAGATGGCTCAAATCACACCCACCAATGTACAGTGGGTGTACCAATGCCCATACAATTACTAGAGGTTCCTGGGAAGAGGGAACTTCTTTTCTTAACATTCTTTTCTTCTTTTCTTTTGGCTTCACATGGTAACTTCCCTGTTTGCTATTTCAAGATCAAGATGCCTTTCTTCGTTTTTTTTCATTACCTCTGAACATTTGCACAACAGGCAGATTTTTATTCCAGTTCATTTTAGTGTTTTTATGTATCGTTTTTTATGATGTTCATAAAGCATCAAGGCCCTTTTGTGCATTCGCTCTTGTCTACGTTGCTGTTGACAGCAGAACTGGTGTTGGTGGGGCACTAAATCTAAGCGATGGAACAGGCTGTATTATTCTCCATACTACCTTGTAAATATATATGGGGTAGATCATGATAGTTCAAAGGATGGTAATTGGTTCTGTGTTTGTAATCACAAGTGCCCGCCTATCTGGCTAGACTGTTGCAGGATTGTATAATAAACAGCTATTACCCTGATCAAACTCTAACAGAGCTGAATGTCTATTCAATGTCCATTCTAGAACCTACTGGGACATTTTTTTTAAAAAAAAGATGAGGTGAGCAAAATTTCAGATTTTTATACAGTTAAATTAAGGGAAACCTATCAGTTTGCAATGCTGGTACAGTCGGGACTGGGACCAAGGCTTGCCCATTCATTGGAAATTTGTCCAATTGGTTCAAAGTATCAGTCCTGGGAAAGATGTTGAACAGCTTCCAATGGGGTCTGTGTTTCTCCAGAGGAGGGAATGTAGCCCATGCTTTGCAGGTGGAGGGTTGCCAGTTCAATTCCTAGCATCTCCAGTTAAAAGGGGTTCAGGTGATGGGTCCGTTTCCATCACCTCAGCCCAAGACCCTGGAAAACAGCTGTCACTCAGATGGACAAGATGGGCTAGATAGACCAATTGTCTCTCACCTGTTGTAAGGACCATACCTGCAATCCTATGGGAAGCCTTTTCCTGTCTTGTTTCTATTGTTACATTTGTGTCTCACTCTTACTCATCCACTGTCACTTACCCCAACCCATCCCATTGCTAGGCACGATGCACCCACCTCATAAGAGAGAACCTGGTGTGGGTTGGCGATTCCCTCTTTCCCTGGCCAGGAGATGGAAGGAGCAATGAATGAGAGGGTGCTGACTTCTAGCAACTCTAGCTCATCACAGGGCACTAGGCAAATAGCTATTATGATTATTTTTTTGCAATGCAGCCCCTCTGTTTTCTTACCCTAAGGAATATTATCACTTTTGTACATACAGTGGTACCTCAAGTTAAGTACTTAATTCGTTCTGGAGGTCCGTACTTAACCTGAAACTGTTCTTAACCTGAAGCACCACTTTAGCTAATGGGGCCTCCTGCTGATGCCGCGCTGCCGGAGCACAATTTCTGTTCTCATCCTGAAGCAAAGTTCTTAACCTGAAGCACTATTTCTGGGTTAGCAGAGTCTGTAACCTGAAGTGTCTGTAACCTGAAGCGTATGTAACCCGAGGTACCACTGTACCTGTTTGTGTAGTAACCTTGAATTGCAAACTGTGCTATAAGACAGGTAACAAAGAAAGATTTCAGCCCTGATTACTTCACGAGTGAATTATTTGAGACACATGGGTGAACAAGCATTTCATTTGGATGAGATGATACACATTTGGGACATGTGCTTTAATTGGATAGATGGTTATTTCAACATTCTGTTGCTGATGCTTCAAGGAAGTTGTTCTGTATATTTAAAGAGTGGGGAAAACACATGTCCCAAGCACACACAATCTCTGTTCGCCTCTACCAGTCAGCGACCTAATCTCACAAATTAAGATTCCTATTCTTATTAGGTAGCAGAAAACAAAAGTTCCACAGACTCATTACTGTAAAGAGTGGCAGGGGAGAACTTTGTTGTGCGTTGCAGTGTGTACGCTGGAGGGAAATAAAACAAATAGTCCATAAAATGGTGTCTTGTGAAAAAAAGATTTTAAGAAGTCATATTTGAGAAAGATAATCTTTTAGTACCCATCTCTTTGGAAATATCATTTGCAGAAAACACTGTAAGACAATGGCTTTCTATGGAAACCCAGGAGAAATAATCAGCTCAGGTTCCCCACAGTTTTAGCAATATAAACATCAAGAACATCTGTGAAATTACATTGTTTCAGTCCCAGCATACCCACAGGACATAAAACTGTGCAAGTGTAAGAGGCTTGGATGCCATTTCAGAAAAAAATGAACATTAACTTAGATATAGGAAGTACAAAAATCTGGAAGAAAAACGCATGGGCAACCCCCTCTGCCCAGCAAATAGCCTGTAGCAGAACACATGTTCTGCATGCAACATATCCCAGGTTCTTTGGCATCTTAGGATAGGACTGGGAAGGTCTTCTGCATACTATCCTGGAGAGCTGCTGCTGTAGGGCTGATTCATGGTCCATCCACACCTCCATAGAAAAACCTGTGCTTTGCTGCTGAATCACACCAAAGCTTACAGTGCCTGCTGTGGCTGTAGAGACTGATATGGGAGAGATATGTTTTGTTGCAGCTGGGGCAGATGAAGGCATCCTGCTGCAGATGCACCATGGCGTTTCTTCTCTCTCCGCTCCTCCCAGCAGTTATTCCTCCTCTGGTCAATGTTACCGATGCACAACCTGTCTGTCTCCAGGCGCTGTAGTCGTCTGCAATGGATTCTCAAGCAGTGGGGTTGATCTTGCCAGCCATCATGTCATGTTTGCAGACCTCTTTGCAGTGCAGAGTTGGTCTGCCAATGAGCCCAGTGCCTGAAGCCAGCTCCCCATAGAGCATGTCCTTGAAGATCCTTCCATCTTCCATTTTTGTGGACATGACCAAGCCAGAATAGATGTTGCTGAGACAGGAGTGTGAACGTGCTGGGAATGTTTGTTTGGGAGATGACATCTTTATTTGAGACTCTGGCCTGCCATGTGATGCCCAAAAGCTTCCTGACACAGCACATGTGGAAAGTGTTGAGGCGTTGCTCCTGGCAGTTATAAGTTGCCCCATGACCCACTTCCATAAAGCAGCATGCTCAACATGCAAGCCTGGTAGATCTTCACCTTGATACAGTGGTACCTCGGGTTACAGACGCTTCAGATTACAGACGCTTCAGGTTACAGACTCTGCTAACCCAGAAATAGTACCTTGGGTTAAGAACTTTGCTTCAAGATGAGAACAGAAATTGTGTGGTGGTGGTGCGGCGGTAGCAGGAGGCCCCATTAGCTAAAGTGGTACCTCAGGTTAAGAATGGACCTCCAAAACAAATTAAGTTCTTAACCCAAGGTACCACTGTATTGCATGTTAGCATCACATTCTCCCATACTGTTTTGGAGATGCGAGCCATTGCTTTAGCTGCCTTGCCAATAAACTTGTCCAGGTCACTGTTGATGGAAGGGATGCTGGTTATGGTGGAACCCAGGTAGACAAAATTGTCTACCACCTCATGCATGTGGTCACCAATGCTGATGCATGGAGTCTTGACCCTCCAACCCCACCTCCAGGATGTCCTACAGATTCAGGAATGGGTCTAGTAGGAGGGTACCCCTTCAAACCTGCAACTGATATTGCACAAAGTGACATATATCCATCTTCCATTTCAATGGATCTCGCTCAGGACCTTTTCCTGATCCATTTTGGCCATGATGATCCATATGGCTTTTAGCCGTGTTCTTTTTGCTTTAATGCCAGAAACATTAAGCTCCCACTCATAAGGAAAACAGATTCATTTGCAGAAGAATTTTGATACCCTGCGCACCGTGTCCTCATATTGCTATTAATACATGAACGAACTGTCAATTTAATCCTTCATAACATTTTGCTCCTTTCAGTGGCTTTTGTGGGGGAAAAGTAAGTGGCAATTATTGCTGATAAATATTAATGCCATACTCCAAGCTTCGTGGATGTCCGGGATATGGGGAAATGCAAAATAACAGCAGTAATAAAAAAAATACTTAGCATTTTTCATAGTGATCACAGTGTGCTATTGACTCCAACTCAATTAAGCTTCTCAGGCTTTTTGTGAAGTAGGAAAAACAGAAAGATTGCTTCATTTGCTACTGTAATGAAAAGAAGATCTTGCATAACAACACATAGCATTTGAAAAGCTAGTTTGAACCTATGGTTTCATTTAGTCAAGGTTAGGTGGTGGGAAGAGACAGGGCGGGGGACTGATTCAATCTCCTAGATAGGAGAAGCAGGCAGTGTATTTTGGAACACCATTAAGGCTGAGGCCACCAACCTTTGGGGGCACATTGCAAATGGGAGAAACTGTTGTGAAGACACACACACACACACACACACACACACACACACACCACAAGCAAACACAGCCATCTATTCTGTGGGTTTCAATAAACACTAGGACTTTGCAATCAATTCAACCAAATCAGTTGTGGATTGCTCTGGAGCAAGTCAGGACCACCCAGAATGATTTGGAGCACTCCAGAGTGCTCCAGAGCTGAAAAATGCTCTGTAAGAAAGCCCTGGTAGCCTGTCTCCAAAGTGTTGTAATTAGTAATCATTAATTAATTAATTAATTGTAATTAATTATTAATTACAACACCATTTAACATGAATGTCAGTGTGAGCAGAATAGGACTTTGCTCATGTACAACTCTAGCTTCCAATCCACAGCTAGAATCTCACCAAACACTGCAATCACAGTGCCAGGGGGCAGGGATCAAACATTAACGGTGGCTATCACAGTAAAACACTGGCACGATGCTACCTGTCTGAAACTTGGCAAGGTTTCTCTCCTCTTGGGAGGCTACCACTTCTTCAAATTTCATGCAATTATGACCCAAAACAAGAAAGCTACAGCTGTTTTGGTTTCCTAATGCAAATGAATCATCAAAAGACAGATGATCACATTTAGATGCTTTGCAAATCACTTATGAGCTTGATAGATGCCAAATCACAGAGGGGAGATGTATAGCACAGATTTTCTTAGTCTCTTGCAGTTGTGGAATTCAGTCCTATGTGAGATCTGGCAAACACCATCCCTCACTCCTTTTAAATAGGCATGAAGACCCGTCCCCCCCACACACATTTCTTTTAATGAAATCTGGGATTATCAGGACTCTAATCCATTTGTGCTAGTGGCTAAGATTTACAAAATGAGTTAGTACTCATTCACACTTTCACTTGATCTGTATTTTGATTGTATTGTCTACTAATTAATTTCCTTGGGTCTGAAAGTTTTTCTTCTTCTGTCTCTGTGCCTTGAGAAAACCCAATCTGACCTGCTAAACTGAAGCTCAGTTAAGCAAAATCTCTCTTCAGATTTCCTGCGCATCTGATCAGATCTGATTCAGCAGGTGAGACCCACCTTTCACAAGGCACAGCAGCAGAACACCAAGAAAAGCTACCGGACCCAGGGGAGTTAATCAGTACACAATACAATAAAAACAGAGGTCAAGCGAAAGTGTGGGTGTGCCTTTAGATCATGTGCCTTGGTTGCTGCACCAAGGAGTGACTACTATATGCAGTTCAAGGAAGAAGCAATCTGCTAGACATGTGAGAATCAACCTAGGACAACTCCTTCCCACCTTTAGAAGAATATTTATTTATTTCCGACCATTTATAATCTACTCAATTACAATCATCTTGAAGCAGTGTGCAATATGTGGACTGATAGCAACCTAACCTGTGCCACAAAATCCACCCAAATTGCCTGTGGGAACCATGTTAGCCAGTTGCAGTCAAATCAGCAAAGAGCCCTGTGGTTTTATGATGCTTTCATGGGCAACAGAATGTTTCATCAGATGCATTAAGTTAGTTAGCAGAATGTGTACACACATTATATATTTAGACACACACACACATTCATACACACACTGAAGGGAACATGTAAACAGTGAGCTTCAAAGGCCATAAAATGTGAGGGGAAAAACGTATGGACATTTGTATTCATATATTGTGTGTTTATGGGACGCGGGTGGCGCTGTGGGTTAAACCACAGAGCCTAGGACTTGCCGATCAGAAGGTCGGTGATTTGAATCCCCACGACAGGTTGAGCTCCCGTTGCTCGGTCCCTGCTACTGCCAACCTAGCAGTTCAAAAGCACGTCAAAGTGCAAGTAGATAAATAGGCCTCCGGCGGGAAGGTAAACGGTGTTTCCGTGCACTGCTCTGGTTTGCCAGAAGCAGCTTAGTCAAGCTGGCCACATGACCCGGAAGCTGTACGCCGGCTCCCTTGGCCAATAAAGCGAGATGAGCGCCGCAACCCCAGAGTCGGTCACGACTGGACCTAATGGTCAGGGGTCCCTTTACCTTTACCTATTGTGTGTTTGCAAGTCTCTGTCTGGGCATCACAAACAATAAGTTATTTGGGACCTCCAAGGAAAGGTTGCAGTGTGGAGTGCTCCTGTTCATGGTCCCATTTTCCCATGCCCTCTCCCCGGATACTCCATTACTCCACTTTTCTGGGCCCATTGAGCATTCCCAGTCCTCATTGGGCTGAACATTTTTTACTCTCTCTCTCTCCTTAGGGTATTTCCCACATTCCTAAATTTATTTTGTCCTTCCCCAAGCTTCCTGATATGTGGATGGCACTGTTCTGGCTAAATAAGGATTCACACTCATCCCTGTCCTTCAGAAAGAAGAGGAAGTTATTATGATTAGGACCACTAGCCATGATGACTATGCCCTTCCTCCGTGGATGTATGCCTCTGAATACCAGTTGAATCACATGGTGAGCATGGTGCTACATTGGGGAGCTTGCAGGCATCTATGTAGCTGGTCACAATGAGAAGAAGATGTTGGACTAGATGGGCTCTGCATTGCAGGACGTTGGACTAGATAACTCTTGGTGCCCTTCTATGCTCCTTCTTATGTTGGAACTACAACATCCCTCACCATTAGTCATGCTGGTTGAGGCTGACGGAAGTTGTAGTCCAGAATATCTTGAGAGCACTGTGTTGGAGAAGGCTGCCCTATGCAATAGTGAACCAAGATTTACTGCCATGCCATGTGCCAAATGGCCCACTGGAGTTGAAAGCTGTCTTGCTGAGGTTTCACACCAACTGTTTGTCTCCTGCTTGGTCTCTTTTATGTTCAGCTGCTCGGGGCAACTCCTGCGGGAAGCCAGCCAAGCAATTATCTGAAAAGCTATTATTGCACTTCGTCCAAGTGTACCATTGCTGATCCCACACAGAGGAGGTTTTTCTGAGCTTTTGTTTTGACTGGAGATAACGGCTCCTTGAGGAGGAGAGAAAAGTTTTCACCATGGTAAACCTTAGCCTGATCTCAGCAGGCTCAGCAATGACTCATTGGCCAAAGAAGAATAGCACCCAGGTGACTGGCCTGTTATGGAGCACTAGCAAAATAAATAAATAAATAAATAAATAAATAAATAAATGCATGAAAAAAGAAACTTACTGAATACTAAAAATATATCAAGGATCTGCTAAAAAAAAAAAAAAAAGATTAGTTGGATAGGTAAAGGGACCCCTGACCATTAGGTCCAGTCGTGACTGACTCTGGGGTTGCGGCGCTCATCTCGCTTTATTGGCCGAGGGAGTCATGTGGCCAGCAGGACTAAGCCACTTCTGGCGAACCGGAGCAGCACACGGAAACGCCGTTTACCTTCCCACCGGAGCGGTACCTATTTATCTACTTGCACTTTGACATGCTTTCGTACTGCTAGGTTGGCAGGAGCAGGGACTGAGCAACGGGAGCTCACCCCATCACGAGGATTTGAACCGCCAACCTTCTGATCAGCAAGTCCTAGGCTCTGTGGTTTAACCCACAGCGCCACCCGCGATACTGACCAATAAAAATAGCTTTCCTATGAGCATGTATACACAGAATGTATGCCCTCATTAGTGAATGATCACAGCCTGTTTTTGCTTGCATCAGATAATGAATTAATTCTAACACCCATCCGTGGGGCATTCTTGGAGTAATCAGGAGAGCCTGCCTCTGAGCATGCACAGAACGCACCACTCATTGCCCAATAAGCAGGCTCGTTTCCCAAGCATTTCGCCATCTTTGGAAGTAGAGTAGCTCTCCAGAACTCATTTGATTTTTTAAAAACTCTCATTAAAAAAAGAAAAGAAATAAAACAAGGGATCGGTGCCCTGTTGCTTCGGACTCTCCGAGAATCCGAAGTTTGTGTCCTTTACGCAGTAAATGGCAGCAACTCTCTGAACCTACAACAGCACAAAATGAAAGACAAGCGGTGATGGCTCTCTCAAGCACGCTCCCATCCACCCAAGCAAAGTGATGGAGCCGATCTCATTCATGAGCGGAACCCTCAGAACGTATCCAAAAGAGACTCGCGCGTTTGTTAGAACGTTCCACAGCCGCCGTAGACACTCCCACTAGACCGCCCAGAGCCACAAGTAGCTCATTGACAAAAAAGGGGAGAAAAATAGCAGGAAGCGATCAATTAACCTCAACAGTTGCAATGACGGAGGCAACAGAAAACACAATTTCTAAAATGCAGCTTTCTAAAATGCAGGGCAAAAACAACAACTCCTCCCATTGTCTCTGAAGAGATGGTTCTTCTCCTATGACTGCTGCGAAAATAATCATAATCGTAAGAATACAGAGAAGAGGGAGATTTGAACGGCTTGCGCAGATCGGATCGCCTGATCAGAGCAGACCCTCTGGCAGCGAGGGAGGGCTGGCAAGCAACGCAGCGAGGCTAATGAAAAGGGCCGGGAAAGGGAGGAGATAATCAGGATTAAGAAAGAAAACGCGAAAATAAATACACTTTTACTACAGGATTATAGCTGACCTAGTACTGTTCACAAGCTTGATAAGGGAGTGTGTTCTGCGGCGGAGCGGAGCCGGGAATGGCCAAAAGGGTAAGTGATGCACGTAGGTAGTAGCAATGACTAAAAGCCGAGATAAAGTGCAGCCTCCATGGACAAGCGCAGTAAACCCCCGAATATCAGATCCTGGGAGGGGGGGGGGAGACCCAGTAGTTCCCTGCTTAGGAGAGCCTAGAAACACGTGGCCAGGCGCGCTTGCAACACCCGACGTTTGGTCCATTTAGGGCAATTGCTGTGATAACTTTCAAAGATGCTGTTAAGATACACACCACAATCCCTTTACCGTGCAGAAAAAGAGAGCAAAGGCGGGGGGGGGGGGGAGGGGAAGGGGGAGGGACAACCAGATTTTCGCGGGGACTCGAGCTGAGTAGTGACACCCAAACGGAGCGAGCAACGGAGGTTCCGACGGGGCGCGCCCACCTCTCCCGCCTGCCTTCTCCTCGCGTCTCCCGCCCGCCCCTTCCTCACCTGTCCACCGCAATGACAGTCATGGAGTAGATGCTGGCGAAGACGGCGGTGATGGGGAAGAAGTTCTGGAAGCGGCAATAGGCCTCCCCAAAGTACCAGTCTCCATGGAGCGCGTAGATGAAATTGACGAGCGTGTTGAAAGCGGCCACGGAGGCGTCGGAGAAAGCCAAGTTGACCAAGAAGTAGTTGGTGACCGTCCTCATGCGCTTGTGCGCCAGGATGATCCAGATCACCACCACGTTGCCGAACACGGCCACGGCCACCACGGCGCCGTACGCCAAGGACCAGAGCGCTATGCACCACGACGGCTGCACGAAGCGGTTGGAGAAGTTGGCGGCGGGCGCCAGCGGGAACGAGGCCGCCGACCAGTTCCCGGCCGTCGGGGATACGCTCTCGTTCCAGCTGCCCAGCTCCGCGCCAGCGCCGCCGCCGCTCCAGTTGGCCGCGGGAACCGAAGTCATCTCACTCCTCAGCGCCTTCCCCGGCAGAGAAACCGCGGGCCTTGCGCCCCTCCACCCTGGACAGCCCGGGAAGGAAGGCGCAAGGAAAGCGGGGGCGCGCTCCTGGAAGCAACAGCCCCGCTGCGGTGGGGGCAAAGCCGCTTGAGGATCCGCGACGTCTCCAAGTGCGCTCCTCGCGCGCTTCTCCGGGTTGCTCCGGAATGCTGTTTGGAAAGGGGGAGCGCTCCGCTGCCGGCGCCACTTTTATAGGCGTCTGTGAATCCGGCGTCGAAGCTGCTCGGCTTCATAGGCTGGGGAGAGCTCTCTCACTCCCCCTCCCCACCTTTCCATCTGCCGCGCGATCCCTCCCCTTGGCTAGCTTTGGCCAACGGCGTGCGCTTCAAGCGGTCGTCGACGATGAAGTGGCCGCGGATCAGATCTGTGGACTGAACGGCGGCAGAAACGGAGTCTGCGCTTAGGTAATGGGAGGCTCCGGAGTTATACGGAGGAGAAGGTGCATGGCTTCCAGCCCTGCCCGCGTTTGGGAAACATAGGAAGCTGCCTTATACCAAGTCAGACCATGGGTCCATTTGGCTCAGTTTTGTCTGCACTGACCGGCAGCGGCTCTCCAGGGAAGACATTCCCAGCCCTCCCCGGAGAAACCAGGGATTGAGCCTGGGTCCTGGGACCTTCTCCAGGGGCTCTCCTGCTGCCTCTGGCTTGTGCCTTAGTCTTCTGTCGACGGCACCACTGTTGAGTTCTTTCGTTCTATATCCACTGTACATTAGCAGATATTCTCCAGTATTCGCCCAGCTTCCATTGAAGTACATTGTAGGGCCCCAAAACACCCTGGCCATGCTGTGATTTCATGAACGCTTTAAATAAATCTCCTGGATGAGAGCAGGGGTCCTTTAAAAACACACACACCAAATAAAGAAATGCCTTCTGCGTTTCATCAATGAGTCTCTATAATACTTTGAGGCTGCAGTCTTATTCTCACTTTACACAGGTGTAGTCAATAATATCAATGGGACTTATTTCTGAGCTGAGATTGCAGAAAATCAGATTAAGCGGTCCAGTTGCTTCTGTGCTGATCATCATAGTGTTGAGTTTGGGGAACCATTAGTTAAACCATTTCCCATTCCCTGCCATCACTCCTTATGCTGAGAAGCACATAATTCATCAGATGCTTGTAAGAACATGATGGCTGTGCTCTGTTTCCATGGTCAGAGGCAGCAATGCTTCTGAATACCATATGCCTGAAATCACAAGACAGAATAGAATAGAACTGCAGAGCTGGAAGGAACCACGAGGGCCATCTAGTCTGACCCCCTGCAATGCAGGAATCTTTTGCCCAAAGTGGGAGACAGTCAACTTTATTGTATGTAGCCAAAGGCCTTTACAATATACAGAATATAAAAATTTCAAAGCAATACATGAATTAAAGGAGAAATTTGTTATGGAAAGTCACAGGGCCACTGTGAATAGCCATGCTCCAGGGGTAACATAGCATTAGATTAAAATGTATAATTCACTGTAATTCTTGATATGGTTAGAATGCAGCCCCTTGACTGTCAGTGCAAAAATATTATTTGTGTTTTATTTATTTCATTTATATTGCACCTTTTTCTCTAGGGAGCTCAAGGCAGCACACACGGCTCTTCCCCTCCTCATTTAATTTAGCTACCAAATGCATAACGTACAAAGGTTTATCAGCTAGAAGTTTGATTGCCCCTTCCTGAGGTGACTGATCTAAGTACAACTGAAGAATAGAACTCAAGACAGAACAGAAAATAGTGCACAATATTGTTAAGAGTTTGTGGGTGCCAGACACTCATAATTTCTGGATTTAGTAAGTGTTAGAATTTAATCAATGCTTGGAGAGTTAAACTGGAAGCCAGACTCTTAAGAACTGGACTCAGCTTCCTGTGTTCAGGAGATCACCTGAGAGATAGGGCATGAAAAGAGAAAGAAGACAGTGAGATGGGCCGTCAGGAAAGGAAAGGCTCTTGAACTCTGAGATAATTAGCAGAGCCAAAGCAGAGTGGGGAATTTGGGGTTGCCGTTGGGGACGGTGTGGGCTGGAGGGAAATAATTGCAGTCTGTAAAACATGGCAAATTGGAGAGAGGCTGAGTCATGGCTGGTGTCTTTTTGAATCCAAGGCTGCTGTGGCCATAGGAGAAGCAAGAACCTCTTGGGGTGTCAATGCTGTAAGTCCCTCCATCATAGGCTCAGGTTGTATATATGTGTAAATAAACCATATATCATAAAGACACCACAGACTCCTCTGTGCCTCATTTCCAAAGGAAACATGAATCCTGGGTAAGTGCCTGGAACCCTTGGAATCTCACACTACTTGGAGACTGGGCCTGCTCCAATAGGGCTCTTCCTCTATTCTTAAATTTGCACCGTAAAAGGTATGTAAAACCCTGACGTTGCTGAGTTTCTAGTAAACATGTATAGTTCCCAATTAGTACAATGGTGCTTTACTCCCAAGTAAGTGTACATAGGATTGCAGCCCTGCAGCCAATTCAATGGTCTTCACACCAAAGTATATGTGTTTATGACATACAGCTCTTCTTATTTTGGTTGTTTTTGCTGCACACAAGACTTACAGAATTACTCATCTTGATTTAAAGATTTTTCTCTCCTTCCACACTGCTTGAGTCTATATCTCAATGAAAAACACCCCACTAAAATCACTGGGGGAAATCCCATTGATTTTTTTAATAGGATTCATTTGCTCCCTACTGTGATGTTATTAGGGATGGGAATTGAAGGTAGCAGTGACATCCTTCTGAGACAAATTAAATAAGATTGCCATTTCCCATTGCTGCCTCTCAACCTCAACCACCACAGATTCCCTGGAGAGGAAGGTTAATTTCTTTAAACTGATTCCAGAAAAAGAAGGATTGTGGGTGTCTGGCACCTGAGCTCTGCCTTATTAGAAAGCAGACACGGTCAACACATAGTTTAAAGGTGTGCCATTTGTTGCACGTCATGATTTTGGAGAGCAGTAAAGTTTTGACTCATTGACTTTATCTGGTTTGTATTGTCCACAAAGATGGCATGTTAGAACATATCATAGTAGACAGGTAAAAGAGACGTGGGTAGCACTGTGGTCTAAACCACTGAGCCTCTTGGGCTTTCCGATCAGAAGGTTGGCAGTTTGAATTCCCGTAATGGGCTGAGCTTCCGTTGTCCTGTCCCAGTTCCTGTTAACCTAGCAGTTCGAAAGCACATCATAAATAGGTACCGCTGTGGCGGGAAGGTAAATGACATTTTCATGTGCTCTGGCACTCGTCAAGGTGTCCCATTGTGTCAGAAAGCTGTCTGTGGACAAACGCTGGCTCCCTCAGCCTGAAAAGCGAGATGAGCGCTGCACCCCATAGTCGCCTTTGACTGGACTTAAGTGTCCAGGAGTCCTTTACCTCTTACCATTGGTAGACCGGTGATGGCACTATGGTTGCTAACTAACCAATGACCTGCCTCAGGGCTTTGCAAATAGGCCCAGGCCAGATTGGAAACGTAGGTCCCATTTCAATAATCTTGACCCCCTCAAAATTGTAGGCCCTTGCCAATTGGTCCACCTGCCCCCACCCTCTGTTCTGGCCTGACCGCCTCCTGTGCATTTAGCAGCTGCTTGCTGTCAAGGTAATCAGCAGATGAAGCATTTCACAGCATGGATATAGCATGAGGATTGCAAGAATCTGTCTCATGGGCGTAGCTAGGATTTATGTTGGGGGGCAGGGCAGGACCTCCCCCCCCCATCATCACCCTCTGTCTAGCAGATTCAGAATGAAATGTCTCATCAGTGGTTGCTTTAAATTTCTTTTGACCCTAAGTGCTCAGAAAAATCTTTCAAAACCTTTCTACAATTTCTACTTTTAGTTACGGTAAGTATTTTTATTTATTTGCTTGATTTAGGGGGGTACAGCTGCCCCCTGCCCCCCATTACACCCATGACCTGTCTCTTTGAACTGCTTTACACATGTGCAGTCCCAGTATCATAAGAAAGCATAGCGGCCAGGACTGAGGATGCCACCAGCTGCAACAAGCAGTGACAAAAAATTCAAGGCAACCACTCTGGGCAGTGACTGCAGGAGAGACACCATGTCATAGATCAGGGTCCCTCTCCCCAGTGTCACATGGAAGATCAGAGAGTCATAGACCCTTGACCTGCCCAGGTTAAGTAAAGATCTGCTCCCCAGGGATGAAAACACCTTGTGCCACATGGCTGCAGCAGTCTAGGAGAGCGATGTTTCTTCCCTTACCATCAATATCTCAGTGATGTCATGATTCATTTTGAAGTGTACAACGTCATCACAACAGGTCCCATAGCCGAGCCCAAGGACAATCCGAAAATGCAGGCAGCTGAGCTATGTTGATAATATATTAATATAATTAACAAAGCAGATATTAAATTCTTATGGCAAAACATTTCAGCTTTTGCCTTCTTCAGCTGCTCTGATGTGAATCAAAGGGTCTCAGCATCCTTTGATTCATTGAAGAGTAGCTCAGGAATGGGGAAGCTGAAACGTTTTGCTATAAGAATTTAACTGTTTTGTTACTCACTGTAATAAACCACATTAACCACATCCTCTGAAGATTCAGAGCAATTTTTCTGTAGCTCACTCTCACCTTCTCATACAAAGGCGACATAGCCTAATTCCCCATTTATTAGGATAAGCAAGAATGCAATCCTATACAGGTTATCTGGGGGTAAACCCCATTGAGTTCAGTGGGGCTTGCTTCTGATTGCATAGGATGAACTTGTAAAACATACTGAGATTTAACAAAAGCCACCTGAACGGCAACCTTTAGCATTTAATTAGAAATGCAAACAGTCTTGCAAAGAAGGGTTACTGTTTAAGCTGCTAGTGTGATGTAGCAATCACATCAAAGGAAAGGATAGAAGCACACAGCCATTGCTTGATTATTTTTTTCATTCTTAGGCTTCCTCTAGGCCAGGGGTCAGCAACCTTTTCCAGCTGTGGGCTGGTTCACCGTCCCTCAGACC